CACCAAGAAATAAGATTTCTTTGAAACAAAGAAATTCTGATTAAACATTACTTTCTGAATAAAAAAAAGTTTTTTTGATTTTACGAAAAAAAAAAAATTTGAAGTGTTTTGAATCAAAGAAATTTTTAATCTAAAGGAAAATTTCTTTGAATTAAAAAATTCTGCACTGAAAAAAAAATTATTTGATTCAAATACTCAATATTACTTGACTATTATCAAATAAATATTTATTTGTATCAAATAATTATTATTTGAGTCAATTAAATGGTATTTGGCTCAAATACAGAAATTATTGGTTCAAATACAATTTATTTAATTCAAATAAAAATTATTTGGTTCAAATAAATATTTATTTGATAATAGTAAAGTAATCGAGTATTTGAATCAAATAAATTTTTTTTCAGTGTGCTAAATTAAAATTCGTTGAAATTAGAATTTTTTTAAATAAGGTTGTTTAAAGAGAAATTTTGAATTAAATATCAAAAATTTGTTTAATAATAATTCAGTGACCTTATATAAAAATTCTGTAAAGTAAAATTTTGTTTAAAAAGAAAAACTAAAATTCAAAGAAATTATTTGGCTAAAAAAATATATATCTAATAAAATTCTTTTCTGTATATAGAAACCATTCTAGAAAAATGTAATAAGATTTATGTAAATATCAATAAAAATATTTTTAAAGAAGCACTATATGGGTGATTCTCCACAGGAATGTGTCACTTTTCGTTCCCCACTTAATAACTAAAAAAGTATTATTTAAAAGATTGTGAAATTTTTTACAGATATTCTTCGTGTTTATATTTATCAATAGCAAAAGCAAAAGAAACATTTTTTGCTTTTATAATCCTTTAAAAAATTCAAAATTACCTCGAAAAATGCACTTTTTGCAGTTCTCGTCATGGGACTTGTTAAGATTAGGAATTTTTTTACGTATATAATCCCAAGTAGAAATGTGCCACTGGCATAGTACTGACCCAACACTGCCAGTCAGTATAACGGTACTGACTGCCGTACTGGGCCAGTAGTGGACCAACCCTGGCTGGTAACGCTGTCCAGTACTGATTTTGTCCCGCTCACCAGTACTAACGTAGTACTAGAATAATACTGGCATAATACTGGCAAAGTACTCATCCGGACTTAAAATCTCACTTTTTTACAAAATGCTAAAACACGCTTTCCAATGCAAATTTCATCCTTATTAGCTTATTACTCCCATTTTTACCACGAACAGGTAATGTGAAGCCAATAATAGTTAATGTTATTTAGAATATATAAAATATTATTAACAATAAATAATTAAAATAATAATTATCATTTATATTAATTAAATTATTTTATTTTTAATAAATTATTTTACAAAAAATAATTTGTGTTGTAAATTTTTTTATTTTTTTAAATTCATAATATTTAATTTTTTTTACTTTGCACTTATACTTAATTTAATAATTATTTAATAATTGATATTACACATGAACAAATATTGTACTTATAACACTTAAAACTAAGAACGAAAAATCTCGCACGCATGGGGGATCGAACCCTAAACCCTTAGAACGCAAGTCAGATACGCATACCGCACAGCCGCGCTGGCTTGAAGTGCTGACTTGAAGTAGTTCACCTAATACAAAAGTTTTGATTTCAAAGTTTGTATTATCTATTGATCACGAAAATAAAATGAATTTATTCTTAAATTTTTTAAACTCATAAAATTTTTTCAATTTTTACAAAGATTTAATGAAATAAAACTGGATATCAATTTCAGTTAAATATTTTTAATAAATTATTTTTACGGTAAATAATATTAAAACAGACAAAAATGTTTGATGAATTACATAATTAAAAATAAGTTAATAAAAGACGACTGTAAAATATGAATAATGAAAAATTTTTTAAATTTAATATTTAATTATTAATAATATTTAAAAATTACAGTGAAAAAATTACATTTGCTTTATTTTTAAAACTATTAGAAAAAAATTCTCAACTTATTGTTATTGTATGCATGCACGGAGAGAAATTTATGCTACTGGGTAACATAATGATGTTAAGGGCAACCATATTTAGTGCTAAATATACAGACAGCGATATATATTGTAGTATTTACTATCAGATGATTATAGAAATTTGATTGTACAATTTACAATCTTTGATGTTAAAAATTTTATACGATCTCTTTACGTTCTCGAGTGGCAAAAATACACGAACCTAACCTCGCTTTTTTTGTAAACTTAAATAATTTCATTTTATTTTAATAAGACATTTCGATAAGAATTTAAACTTTAAACTTTTTACATAAAAAAGAGTATGTCTATTTTTTCACTCCGTCTATAAAAAGGACTTGCTTAAACATAAATATATTTATCAAACGGTATATTTTTTTCACAGAGTCAATTGAATTTGTATTATTTTACTAATTTTTAAGTTTAAAAAAAGTAAGAAAAAATATGAAAAAGTTTTTTTTTCCAAAAAAAAATTTCAATAAACACATTTACATTTATACAAACGAAAAAAAAACTTACTTGATTTTTGTAATCTTGAAATTTTTAAAAAAATTTTAAGCGAGGTACTGGTTTTGGTATAATGAGTGATATTGTAAAGTAAAACGATTCTTCATCAATTTCACCGTCTAAACAACGCAAAATTGTTTTGAGGTTATAAACACGTTCACACTTCAGTCTTCGTAATTCAATCAAAATAATAAACCTACCTCCAAAAGATGGAATCAAAGATTCCATATTCCACGACATTAATAAATTTTTAACAAACTCGTCCATTTTTTTATTCACAACTTTTTTCACTATATATAAACACGAGCGTGAAAACACAAGGACCGCAATTGAATAGGCGAAGTATACACCACAATCAGCGCATGCGCTCACATTTAATTTTTACAATATTTGATAGTAGTGACTACAATCCAAAAGCTAACATATTTTACGTCTTTGGGTAACATCTTGGATAGTAAAATGTTGATAGTAGATTCTTGTCAGTAACACAATGATAGTACCTTGTACAATCTTTCTTTTTACTATCAAATTCTTACTATCCATTTCTCTCAGTGTGATAAATAACTTAATGCACATATGAGTACTAAAATAACTAAAAAAACATAAATATATTTTATATAGGTATATAATAATACATTACAATTACATCCAAAATTTTGAGGGAAAGTATTCGAAAGAAATTAATATACATTTTTTTAAATAAAAAATCATCGTTTTCTACCTTTTGGAATAATTTAAAGACTTTTTCATTTAATGTTTTTTATCACCGACATAGTACTGATTCGGTGTGAATGACAGTGTACTGCCAGTACTGGTTTTAATATTTTTTTACCTCCGACATAGTACTGATTCGGTGTATTAGTCAGTACACTGCCAGTACTGAAAGTCAATACCGACAGCCAGTATTGGATCAGTACCATGCCGGTGTTTAATTACGGCGAGCTACGGATATTTCTACTTGGGATGGGTTAAAATTTTTTTTTGAAATAGACTAGTCGAAAGTTTAACTCAAAAGGTATAATTACTGTGTATCTTATTTCGATTCTCATAAATTGTATTATAACAAAAATCGGATTTAAGTCTTTTCCCCGATTTTATTTTTGTGGAACCGGAGTTTACATAATTGTGATTTTACTCAACCTTATAACTTATTTTTACCGATTCCTTGTGTAATCAAGTTAAAAAATTATGTTGACGCTTGAATCATGTGAAAAAATGTGATTTTTGAACTTAAAACTATAATAATAATCGTCTTTATATTGCGTAGTTTTATTACATATGTAAACTCCGGTTCCACTTAAAATAAAGGTTTTTTAAAACTTCGGATAAAATCAAACCACTAGTTAGTTAGAGTTAGCAAACCTGTATATAAATACCAAAGGACAGTTTATTTCATTGGGTATTTTGTTTATAATAAACAATTTTCTTTGGTTTGTAATCTCCGGTTCCTCTTTCTGAGCTCAGGTACGTACAACGCAAATGTTGGGCCCTTTCGTTTTTTTTTTGTTAAAATATCTTACTTGTATTTAAATACGAATACAGAAAATAATAATTACATTTAAAGAAAACAATTTTTGGTATTAGTGAGATAAATAACTAAAATATTTTTAATTTATAAGAATTAAAATTTTTTAAAGCACATACATAATAATACAATTCGTCCACTACTGATTGTCAGTTTATACAAACAACACAAGTGGACGAAGTCGTTTAGACGTTCGTCTGTAGTATTTAATTTACTTTTAGTTTATTTTAAGTCATGTATATAATTAATCATATTATTAATTTTAAGATTAAGTTTAACATTAATTATACTTTAACTTTGGTGAATTATTTACAGTTTTTGTATAAATCCGAGTAAGTATATATTTGATGGGTAAATTGAGAGAGGTTATGTTTTTATGTAAAAACGAGTGCAAAGTAAAAAAAATAGAATTATTTGTATAAATTTAAAGTGATTTGTTACATGTAAAACTAAAAAATACTCATCTTAAATAAAGACAAGTTTTACAAACTACTGCTGTTATAATATTTACAAATTATTTAAAAATAATTATTTACTTTTAAGATCATATAACTTAATATTTGAAATTAAAATTAAAACGCTCAGTTAGAGTGGAAAAGAAAAATTCCACAATATCTCGCACAGGACGTAAAAAATTTTTTTAAGCTCAAATACTTATTGATTAATTTTTTTTAGTGATAACTAATGTAGTTAGTGTGAAAAAAATTAAATTAAAAATTTTTTTTAAAAAATATTTACTATTATCAAAAAGTGCCCAGATTCTGAAGAATCACCCATATATTTTTTTTTTCATCCGGAAGTAACGTATACTGAATAAACACCCTGAAGTGATTACGCACGAGATTTTTTCCGCAGCAATATCCTCCCTTTGAGAAACTATATATACATATATATAGAATTACCAAGATTCGAAGAAAGGTTTTTGGTTGAAACCAATGTGGGTGGGTGGTTGCGAAGTGTGGGATAACATATCGGGTTTAGTGGCGCGCTTGCCGGGAACCTGACTCAGTCTGCGATTGTCCGCGACACGGTTTAACCGTGACGTTGCTATCAATCAACATTTTTCTTGTCCTCTATCCTCTCCTATCAATCCTTTCCTCTCCTAAATACCCCTCAAGGAGTTAATCTGCATCCCAGTATTACTCAGGATAAAAAGCACTTCTCAGGTGTGTCCTTTTTATTAAAATCATAGATTCTGTTTCACATCTAGAATCATCTCAAGTCACATAATCATAAAATTATTGTTTCTGATAATTCATTGATTATTTCAATTATATCTGTTTGTGATACTATCAATTATTTACTAACACAACTATTTTTATTTAAATATTATTTTTATCAAACGATAAAATTTGTACTATTGATGTGTTTGTTAATAATTGTTTAGTATCATCGATTATCTATAAAGTTTGCTATTTATTTCTGAATTGTATTTATAAATATTGATTGTCATCTTTATCTATTTTCCAAATTCCATTTTTAAGAGAGATGTTCTTATTGGAATCATGTTAACCTAGAAAATAACTACAAATAGTTATAGTTATTTGAAAATATATTTTATAATTGTACAGAACAATAACCGAAAATACCAAAATCATCAGAATTTGTTAATGTGCTAATTACAATACCGATTGTATAAAAAGGGTTTGGTATTGACAACCAAACGTTTGGTTGGTATTTAAGCAACAAAAATTTTTTTTGTTGAATTAACAAAATTTTAATTGTCTCAATTTGTTTTACGCAACCAAAATTAGAAAAAAATGATTTTTGTTGTCCTAACTAAAGTTTGATTGGGACAACAAAAAATTTTGTTGATTCAATAAAAAAAATTTTAAATACCAACCAAACGTTTGGTTGTTAATACCAAAACCCTTTTTTCAGTATATATGAAAATACAATCATTTGGCAAATCTAATTACAATTTAGAATCAACATTCATTTAATATCTGTATTTTATTCCGGCTAATAATCAGGAAATAAGAATTATCCTTCATCGAAATCATTAAATTCACGAGTGTTTTTCGCGCATTCTGTCGACGGACCACTCAGGCACTCACGTGAGGAAACATTGCTCCCAATCCGCAACATCGATTCCCGTCTTCGACCTGACAGCTTTAAAGGTAGGTTCTCGCCTAACTTTTCAGATGCCCTAGAATTTTAAAGCGCGAAACTTCTATATAGGCTTTTATTTCTTTATCTCCAGGGAGTCGTTCCATTTAGGAGGGATTGTGCGGTATTCTTTTTTTGCTCTTTATAATGTTTTTGTCTTATAACCTATATATCTCTTCTGCTGTGTAATAAATGTAAAAGTTCACATCAGATAATTACAGAATTTATTTTTCTCTTCAATATAGAAAATTTTTTGGTTTTTATCCTAATAAATTTTCTCCCACGACATTTTTTTCTTGTTCAAATATTTATGGGAAAAAAAAAATTGTAGACTTAAAATATTTATGCAAAATTATTGTTGTCTTAAAAAAATATAAATATTAGATTTTCGTTAGATTAAGAAAATTGTAAATTTTTTTTTCTTTAAGGGAAGAGACTAGTGAAATTTTAACTTATTGAAATTAATAGTATTTAAGGTTGTCAATTGTTTTTTCTGACAATATTGAGTATTTAAAACTATAATATATTGGAAATTAAAAAACTGATAATTCATTAATAATTTTTTAAATAAAACTTCGAATTTTAAAAAAATAAAAATTTGAACTTCTGTCGCAATTTCTATTAGCAAATTTTTTGAAACGGTTTTTTTTTATTCTGAACAATCAATCGTATGGATGTTAAAAAAATTTCAATTTTTTCCAAAAAAATAAAATTTTTGAAAAATAAAAAAAAAATGTTTGTTTAATTTAAATTTTAATGATTCTTCTTTAAAAATTCAACTTCTTCTATACAATTTTTATTATTTTTTCCTAGGCTTTTTTTATGATTCTGAACAATTAATTGTATGAATTTTTAAAATTTTTAATATTTTCAAAAAATAAAATTTCTAAATTTTTTTCTTTCAGTTTTTAATAATACATAATAATTTTAAATCTCAAATAATGACAGAGAAAAAAAATTGTCACCCTTTATTCAACATTAATTTCGATGGATTGAAATTTCACCGGTCCCTCCCCTTAAATTATTATCAAAACTGATTGAATTTAAAAAAGAGATAATCACGAATTTTTATGAGACATTGTTTATTATTAAAATGAAAATTTATTATTTAAGAACATTATTATTGTCACGTTACCGTGACGTAAATATAAATAAATAATAAATTACATCTTTTACAACTAAAATATTTATTGAAAAATGTTTACAGTTAAATATAACATAAATAATTAGGTAATAAATATTTTAGAAATTTATAATAATTAAATGTCAATAAAAATTTTTGAATTACATTATAATGTGTAACAAATTTTTTACAATAATTTTTAATAACAATTGAATTAAATATCAATAGAATTTATAAATAATTGTTAATAAAATTTAAATTAAATGCTAATAACAATTAAATGTTAATAAAATTAAATAAGAATAAAATAATTAAAAAAATAATTTAATTACAATAAAATTTCTACAAAACTTAAAATTTACTGACTTTTTTAATTGTTATACAATTGTTATTACATTTTTTCTGTACAATAGAAAAAATGTAATAACAATGTAATGTATAACTTATAAATAATAATTATAATATCAAAGCATTAGTAATAAAAATTATTGCAATAACAAAAAAAATATATCCAACAAAATGTTTTTGTTGTCAAAACAAAATAATTTTTTCTCCGTCTGGTTATAAAAATATATATTCTGTATCTTATTTTTTTTTTTTTTTTTGTCACGTGAAATTATTTTTTGCAACAACTAAATTGAATATTGCACTATTGTATATCCATTTATATTATAACTTTAACAAATTGGTTACATCAATCTTATCTTTTATCTTAATTGACTCTGTCAACAGGATCTTTATTTCGGAGCAAATTGAACCCTTTATTTATTCAATTTAAGTTCAGGAACGCTTAAAATAGAATATTCGAATTAAGAATATTATATATTCAAATATCAAAATAGAAGAATTAACCAAATATAATAATTAATTAGATACACTAAAATTTATTTTTAAAAAGTTGTGATATTTTTAATTATATTATATATTTTTTAAATTTAAAAAAATATTTTTAATGTGCTTGAGATTTAATATTTTTTTTTAAATTAAATAATGTTATTAGCGGTGTATTAAAAAGTTTCTCGTTAAAAAAAAGGGGAAACTAATATTAAAAAGCTGCTAAGTGTTGGTTTACTATCGCGTGTAGCGCCATTTGTCAATGACTTACGTAACGGAATTAATACGTTACATTGACGCTTTTAAGCATATACTGAACTGTGCCATGATTTCCGTGTGTTGCATGCGATGGTGATAGCACCAAATCCCTTGAGAGATCCACCACAACCCTTACTTTCAACAATCCTATTTACACTGAAAAAATAATTTATTTGGGTTCAATTAATTCAAATTATTTGAAATATAATTACTTGGATAAAATATATTTTTATTTGCATCAAAAAAATATCTATTTGATTCAAATAAATTTAATAATTTAAATTAATTAAATTAAATAAATTTCAATTAGATCAAGTAAATATAATTTATTGATTCTAATAAGATTCTAATTCTAATTTATTCTAATAAAATTCAAATCTAATAAATTAATTTCAAAAAAATTTATTTATTTATTTCATTGAAATATTTGGTTATTTGATGCAATTATAAAATTATTTGATATAATTTTATTTCATTGATTCGAATAAACTAAATTATTTAATACAAGTAATGAATGTTTTCAATGCTAATATACATTATTTTTTGAAACAAAAAATATTTCGATCAAATAAAAAATTTGTTTAATGGGAAACAACTCAACATTAAATGCGTCATAAATGTTTATTACGATAAATATTATAAAGATATAGTATTTTTTGTTTTAATCTTGTTATATAAAATTCTTATCAAAAGTACAATTCTATTTTATTAATATTTATAAAAAAAACATTATCTTGAACTATTTATGGATAAAATTTTTACATTATATGAAAAATAAGGAAAATTTATACGTATTTGATAGAAAAAACCTTTCTTTTTTATTTTTTTTTAAATTTTTTTTTTATTTTCATTTATTTTATAATTCGAACATTTCTAAACATTATTGCTAATTTTTTTTTTACAACTTTTTACCACTTATTTTAAAACTTTTTTTTATAAACAATTATATAAAAATATAAATAGAATATAGTTGAAAATTTAAAAGAAAACAGAAGGAAAACGGTTAAATAATTGTCATATTATAATTGTTCTTTACTCTACTTGAAAGAAAGTTTGACTTTTGCAATATTTAAAAAAAAGAGTATATGGACATAAATATATATAGACTTTTTCACGGCAAAAGTATATTTTAAATTGTTAATATTATTGTCACTTTCAAGATATCCACCCTTCAGACTATGCAAAGAGTTTCTTGAAATATTAGTTTAAAATACTTTAACCTTCTTTAAAAATTGAAATACTTTCGATTAAAAAAAAATGTGTTATTTGAATCAAATAAATTTTTTTTTCAGTTTAACTATAAATTTTCTATAACATTTTGCGTTATTTAATAAGACATTTTTTTACATTATTTTTTTTTTGAATCTTTAATTGTTAATTTGTAAATAATTAAAAACAATAAATAAGTTTTCTAATATAAATTATAATAGAATTTAAATTATGGTTTTGTTAGTTTAGAAAAATATTTATTAGTTTGTTTATAACTCATTTAGTACGAGTACAAGTTTAAAATTAAAAAATCTGCCTCTCATATATATACATCTCTAAACTAGTAGTCTAGCCAAAAATTTCAATTTTATCTCTACAATGAGTAATGCTTAAAATTTCCTTTGATTTTTGGCAAAGTACTCTAAATACAATGGTAAAAGAAATTGTTACTTTCTTTTTTTTACTCGGGTATCATTGACCTCTCTGATATTCTGCATTGCGCCATAATAATTATATATACATAGACTCATTTATTTTACACTAGCAAATAAAAAAAAATCATATCGGACAGATATTTTTGCTTTATACTGTATATATTAATTAATATACAATAACGAAATAAATTTTAATAGGCAATAAATATTTCGGTATTATCAAATATGTTAATATTATGCTGAAAAAAAATTATTTAGATCAAATAAATGATTTACTTGTTTAAATATCCATTAAATATATGTATACACTGAGAAAATGATATTTTTAGTTGAACCATATTTATGTTTTATTCAAAACATTTTTATTAATAAAATATATTTTATTTAAACGTAAATTTTGTTTCATTCAAAGTTAATATATTCTTGATATGCAGTTAAAATATTGAATAAAAAATAATTGATTTAAGGGTATGTTGGAGCCTCCCACGTGACCTAGTATGGGAAAATGTGTTTTGGTAGTATACATCTTACTCTAAAATGAGAAAAGATTTTTGTCTAAAATTTTGAGAGATTATAGATTAGGGTACAAGGAATCTCGCTGTTCTCCGAAAAATACATAATTTTGGGTTAAATTATTAAAAAATGAAGTTTAAAAAGTGTGATTTTTAAACGAAAATAAAAACAAACATGGCGGCGCATACACAGACGTTCCTTGAGTGCGTCAGTGCTCCAGTAAACAGCGCCAATTCGAGCTTTTGGCCACTGAATGAATTATGATGTAATACATTATTTTACTATTTATTGCTTTATTTTTATTATTTTTGCGTTAAGTTATATGGTAAATGAGTAGAACAGCGAGATTTCCTTGTACCAAACAAAATCATTACTCCAAAATTTTAACCCATTGTAGAACCTCCATTAAGACCTGAGCAGAATAGAAACGTAACCGGAATTGTAATCGTAAACGCAACCGGAAGAATGAATTAGAGAAGGATAAATAGATTATTTGTCCTTCTCTAACTTATTCTTCCGGTTACGTTTACGATTACAATTCCGGTTACGTTTCTCGTTTCTATTCTGCTTAGGCCTTTAAACATAAAATAATCAGTGAAACATCCGTATTGTGACATTTTGCAGGGAATGGTAGGTTTTT